AATATGAAAAGCAATAAATATCCTAAAAAATTAGTTTTTCTGACTCGACTTAGAATTCTTGTGAAAATCTCTTTGCTTCACTGTGATTGGTCAGATTGGTCACGTGACACTTGATCACCCTCCTCTGGGCTATGCAACTCAGAATCAGACAGCCACGTAGTCAGCTACGAAGTATCGGTTTATATCTCGCCAAGGAAAATCAACTATTTGGCTCGATACACCAACCTTTATGACCTAAACCAATGTCCTAATACATGCTCTTACACAGATGAATGTTTTGGAATAATAAAAGGCCTCGAATATCAAAGAATTACTAAAAAACTACAGTAAATCCCGGGCAGTTATTGCTGTTCTATGATACGATTGTTTAGAGTACTGGTTCGTATTATAGAAGAGCTGTCGATCGTATAACTTGAGATCTCTTCGCCTTTAACAGAAAACTTTCCGCTATCCCAAATGCTCAGATGAGTAATAAGCGGCAGAGTCTGACCTCAACAGTCGATAATTCCGAGTTTTGAAGAATTTTTCTTCAATTCAAACTGCGTGCTGTATGAGACATCCACGGGCTTCACTTATCTACTAAGTATCGATTTATATCTCGTTATTATAAAAGCTACAGTAAATCCCGAGCAGTTTTGCTGTTCTATGATACGCTTGTTTACAGCCGAGTTCGTAATRTGATATTTCGTTTAGAGATCGGAGTGCGATCGGGGGCAAAGGTACAGCCGAGTTCGTAATGTGATATGCGTTCGGGACGCAAAGGTCAGCCCGAAGACAAAGGTCTCACATAGAAAAAAACAAAACAAAACTATACGCGCTGCATTTTCTGACTCGTGACCCGGCCTAGGGCCTGGTCACGAGTAATAACACATACAAGTTGTATATCAAAGAATTGCCCCACAAAAGTTATCCTTCGTTTAGCAGCCATATATGGTAATCTTACCTTATTTGGAAGTACGATAGGAATGGTTTTTGTCGATTTTCTCGACTTTTAAAGCTTGAAATCGTCTGAAACTTGCAGATATTATAGCGAAAACACTTCTCAGCAATCGGCCATTTTGTTCGTTTCCATATATGGCATGGATTCGCTAAAGGAAGCCCAAAACTAAAAAGCACAGGGAACCCGCACGAATGACATACAATTCTTTGATATGCGTCATCCCGTAAAATCTTTTTTTGGGAAACAAGGTCATTACAGTCAACTCTTGCCTTACGGACACCCCATTATTACGGACACCCCATTATTACGGACACCCCCATATTACGGACACGAGATACTGAATCCCCGGCGAGAAATACAAAGAAATAACTGAAAGTAACTCCCAGTTTGCACCATTATGCTTTGCGCGCCTCTGYTATTGTTATGATTTACACCAAAATACTTCTAGTATCCAAATATCACCATAAAACGAATTTCAAATGGTTGAAAACTCTAATATTAGCGTTTGAAGTGCCTAAAAGATTGAGATGCTCAAAGATTCGAAACGCACAGTACAATTTAAGAGCCGATGTCTGTAAAAATCGGACATAATCGAAAATCCGTGGCAACGGTCAAATTTTCGATTTCGCTCAATTTGTGCCACAAGATATATAATCACTCAAGTAGCAGCAGTATGAGTGTTTTTTTGAAATAATATTTTTTTATTTTTGAGAAAATTACGATTTGTTTGTGACGAGCCTCGCC